CACTCGTCCCAGGGACTCCAAAAAGGGTGGGTACAACAGTCAGGACCCATTCCTCGACCCAAAGGCACAGGGAAGCTACCCTCTCGTCCCCCGGGGTAAACTTCAACACACAGGCAGAGTCTTGGGGCTAACAAAAAGCCAACCCCAGCCCCCCGCCTCTCAACCGGAGAAACTCCAGCAAAGGAGAATGTCCACCCCCTCTCAAGGACTTGGGTTCCAGAGCCAATGCTATGTGTCGAGGTGAGTCCGACTATATCTAGCCGGTACTGCTCAACCTCTGCCACAAGCTCCTGCTCCTTCCCCGCCAGCAAGGTGACATTCCATGTCCCAAAAACCAGTTTCCTTGTCCGGGGATCAGACCGCCAAGGCTCCCGCCAAGGCTCCCGCCTCGGTCTGCCACCCGATCCACACTGCACCGGACCCTTCATGTTCCTCCTGCGGGTGGTGGGTCCACAGTTGGATGAGCCCATGTATCTGGTTCGGGCTGGGCCCAGCCGGGCCCCATGGGTGAAAGCCCGGCCACCAGGCACTCGTTCACGGGCCCCAACCCCAGGCCTGGCTCCAGGGTGGGACCCCGGTAACCCTCCGGGCCGGGTACTCCGACTCTTTGAATTTACATCCATGAAAGATCCTCTGGTTAAAGTTATCTCTTAAAGTAAAAAAAAAAAAATTAATAAACTATTTAGTGTTTCTTTAACTCACCTAATCTTTTAACATGTTATTATTCTATGTTCTGGTGTAATTCGTGGTGAATGGTCTTCATTTGTATAGAGCTTGTTCAAGTCCAAAGACTCAAAAAAATAAAATAAATAAAACTAACCCTCAGACCAGACTCATTCATTTACCCTCTCACATAGGCTATTCGCATGCTGATGGTGATGGTATCCACAGCAGCCTTGGGGACGACTGACAGATGCAAGGCTGTCATGCAATTGGCACCAACAGCCCCTCCGACCACCCTGCTCGTGGAGGTGGATGAAAAGTCTGACCCAAGGACACTAATGATTGAGACAGAGCAGAGGTTCAACCTGGCAACCGACAGCTAACAGGATGAGCACTTAGTTTCTTAGCCACTGCAATTTATATTCTTTAATTTTATAATGCACACTTAACCATAACATTAAGAATGGTTTATTAAGTTGTAAAAATGAATGAAACTCTAAAATATTGCAGATTTGATTAAAATGAGTGATTAGCAGCTCCTGTAGAACCTGCTGACGACTGAGGAGATAATTAAATAGTTAGAATCAGGTGTGTCTGAGCAGGAACATATCAAAACATTACTTATCCATTAGCGCTACAAGGCTGTTTGTGTGTGTCATATGAGGTGCGGCTTTCCGCTACTTTCTGTAGGGGCGGGGGAGTCGGGCCGGGGGCTATAGCTTTTCATAGTTCACAATTTTCTACTTCTCTCCTAAATGACAGTTACAACCCCGGCAGGTGATGTTAAAATGTGAAGGAGGAGGTAAGATAAGAGATAACATTGGAATTAAAAATGTGTTTTTTCACCATAAAAGGTTCTAAAAATGACAGATGACCAAAAAATAAATAAATAAATAAAATGAAATAAAAAAGGTTAACATTAAAAGACCAATTACCATCATTAACCCTCTCAGTCTCAAAATAAGTTTTGATAAAAGGACGAACAACTAAGTCCTGCAGGGGTACTTCTGAGTTAAAAAATGCTCATGAAATATGTATGTGGAGTAACCAGGTAGATAGGTTTTAACTGTTGCAAATCTGCAATGCCTGCCTCCAGAGGGTTAAAAACACCCAGATTTTAATGACCCCAGCTGTCATTTCATTTTATTTCATTTATTTATAAAGCCCCTTCTGTGACCAATGCAGACACCCAAGGTGCTGAACACAACACAATAAAAGCATAAAACCATCAGAATAAAATATAACAATCGTAAAACTAGCATAAAATCAATTAAAAGAGGAGAGTAAAAGCAAAAAATAAAATCCAGAAAACGATTAAGAGGCCGGGGCATCGAAACCGTGTAAAATTTGCTAATCCTGAAATGCCTTGACAAAAAAATGGGTCTTAAGGCGAGTCTTAAAAACCCCAAATGAGGGTGACTGACGCACCACCAAAGGCAACTGGTTCCAAAGTGCAGGTGACAACACAGAGAATGCACGGTCCCCCCGTGACCTGCACTTGGTGCGTGGAACAATCAACAGCTCCCTGCCGGCTGAGCGAAGGGCCCGCGAGGGGGCATGTCTATGCAAAAGGTTGCCAAGATATGCTGGAGCAGTTCCGTGTAAGGCCTTGTATGCCAGTACCAAGACCTTGAATTTTGCCCTGTATTTCACAGGCAGCCAATGAAGGGATGCCAACACAGGGGTGATATGTTCCCTGTACCTAGTGCCTGTCACGAACCTAGCGGCTGAGTTTTGTACTAACTGCAAGCGTGCTACCGCACCCTGACTAAGGCCCGCATACAGTGCATTGCAGCAGTCGAGACTTGAAAGAACAAAAGCATGTGTGACAGTCTCCAAATATACTCTGGACAGCAGGGGTTTAATTCTGGCTAGTCGGCGTAAGTTAACAAAAACACGATTGCACAACCTGGTTGAATTGCGCGTCGAATTTAAGGGCTGAGTCCAGTTGCACTCCCAAATTTCGGATGGTGGTCTTCATGTTGGATGCTAAAGGGCCCAGATTCACAGAATCACATGGGCGTGTAGACATACCAGGGTTAAGTACAATTACTTCAGTCTTAGCGTCATCAGATGTAAAAAGTTTTTAGCCATCCAGGAGCGCACATCCTCTAAGGCAGGGTTTCTCAACGGGGGCTGTAGCGCCCCCCAGTGGGCGTTCAGACTATATAAGGGGGCGGTGAAAGTTTTTTGCCACTGAAGGGGGCGCTGAGATGCTAATGGTGGGTGCTAGCAATACAGGACATTCATAACAGACAATGGCTCAGAATAAAAAGAAGTGCTGACAGTACAATGTGAACTACCTTCAGTATGGATTTATTCCTTCACCCACGAATCCAAAACTCCCCATGTGCCTGCTTTGTGAACAAGTTTTTTGAAACGAAGCAATGAAACCCTCCTGGCTTAAGGAGCACTTGTCCAAAATGCATCCAGACAAAGCTTTAAAGGAACTGAACTATTTTCAGGTAAACAAAGAGAGACACTCTAAGAGAGGTAGCATTAGTGGTATGTTTGCTCGAAGCATGATTTTACTGGACCGAGGATTATCGCTTCCTACAATATCTCGTTGCTAATAGCTAAAACCACTTTTTTATGATACTTTTTTATGACATATTTGTATGAAACTGTTTCAAATTCAAGGCTGAATTGTATTTATGTATATGTATTTTTTTTAATTATGATTTTTGTATCAAAAAACTTTCTGTTTCTCTGCATGGGACACTGGTGGGCAGTAAGGGATTGGGGGGGGGGGGGCATTTAGCTGAAAAAGGTTGAGAAACCCTGCTCTAAGGCATCTACAAGCTTTGATATTGACCCATCGACCCCCCCCCCCCCCCCCCCCCCCCGAAGGGGGAGGTAGATCTGACAGCCGTCAGCATAAAAATAAAAACGCATGCCGAACCACCAAAGAAAATTCCCCAACGGTAGTAAGTACGAAAAGAAGCGGACCCAGTACAGACCCCTATGGCACACCCCACTTGAGTCCCGCCCAGGTCGAGGAGGTTTCACCTATACTGACACAAAAACTCCTGTTGGATAAGTAGGAGTGTAGCCATTGTAGGGCTGCACCGGTAATTCCCGCCCAATGTTGTAGCCGATCCAAAAGTATGTCATGATCGACCATGTCAAAGGCCGCAGACAAATCTAACATCAAAACAATGACAGCATCCCCACCATCACAAGCTAAAAAAATATCATTAAGAACCATTAAAAGTTCAGTCTTGGTACTGTGACCTGCTCTGAACCCTGACTGAAAGATCTCCCAGAGTTCGGTAGTGTCTAAAAATGCAACCAGCTGTAAATATACAACCCTCTCAAGCAGCTTAGATATGTAAGGTAGATGTGAGATAGGTCTGTAATTGGCTAACACAGTTTCCTCCATTTCCTTCTTTTTCAGCAGCAGTCGTACAACAGCCCTCTTAAAAGTAAGGGGAACCACACAAGAGGCCAGACTGGTATTTAAGATAACCAGTATATAAGGGGCCAGAACAGAGAAAGCCTCCTTAAGCATCCTTGGGGGAAGAGCATCATAAGGGGAACCAGAAAGTTTTTGCTTAGAAATGAGTTCCTCTAGCTCTGTCAGAGATATAGTCTGGAAGGCTGGCAGGTTTGCCCTAAGTGACATGGGTGCCACGAAAACAGGAGTGCGGCCTACAATAGCAGCCTGAATCATCTCTATTTTGTCCACAAAGTAGTGAAGAAAATCTTCACATGTCCCGGCCATCGTAGCCATAGACCTAGAGGGAGAAGTTGCAGTTTCCAGTACTGAATCAATTACCTTAAAGAGAGTGTGTGGGTCATGAGAATTTGATTTCACAATGTTGGCATAGTATCTGATCCTAGCCTGTCGTACCACTTCCTGGTAATCAAAAAGTGACTTATTATCAATTTCATAGGACACGTGAAGTTTGTCTTGCTTCCACTTTCGCTCAGCTCTCCTGCAGGCCTGCCTGGAGGCCTGGGTCTCATCAGACATCCACGGCTCTGCCCTATGCCCTCCTTTCCTAATCTTAAAGGGAACAACATCATCCAAAACAGATGTGCATAGCGTATCAAAACGAGTAATAAACTCTTCAACAGGGAGGTTGGCTAAGAGAAGGTCCTGTCCTGCTAGACTAAAGCACTCACTGAATCTCGCCACCTTAGCAGGATTTATGGCATTACTGCGCCTCTCAGCTTTAACATGTATGAATGCATTTACTTCATATCATCTGAAGCTACACACCAATAAGCACACAGTAAGTCAGACAAAACATTTTAAATGTGTTAAAACATCTTGGCAATCAAAGTCAGCTGTGAGTTGTGTTGTAGAGTAAAATGAGAATGGATGTTATTACCTGAGTTGGGTTGACCGTGCTTTCCAGGTCTTGCTGACTCCAAACCGTCTGTAGACTGAACCTCCAACAGGTATGAGCTCTTGGTCTCTCGGTCAAACACAGCTTGGGTGTAGATAAAGCCTAGCTCTGGGTCAATACGGAAATACTGATGGTCCCCGCTGCGATCCTCCAGCAAGGAGTAAGAAATCTGAGCCAAAGGAGTGAATAGAAAACTTCCTCTTAAAGACAGATCACATCCATAAGTTCACTCTTATGAAAGCCCATGGATGTATGTGTGCAGTAAACATTTAAAGTGTGAATTTCTGACTTTGTTTTCACCTTGCCATTAAGACCCAGGTCAAGGTCATTGGCTGAAACCTGGAAAACCGTAGTCCCTGAATCTGCTCCTTCAGTGACTGAAGCCTCATAGATGGAAGATGTGAAAAACGGGACGTTGTCGTTCACATCTGAGAAAAGACAAGGAAAATAAATGTCATCCGGACTACAATTTCAGTTGAACCAAACCAGGTTTAAAGGTCATATTTATTCAAATTTAAATAGTTTGTATCAAAGTCTTTCAATTTATGTGGAAGAATTAATTATATACTAATAAAAAATTGTTAATAGCCCAAGCCCTTCCTTTGGTGTTGGTTGGTTGGTTTGGCGTTAGAGCTCAGCAAACCGAGCTAAGCTCATGAAGCAGCTTGTTGCCTAATCGTTTTTCTTTTCTTCATTTTTTTCCCCGTGTCCTGTCTGGCTGTGAAGCAAACAGAATTGATGTCTGAATGCTGGTAACAAGCCTTACAGCTTTACTCTCAGGTGGAGCATGAAAGCGTCTGCTTTCAATGTCACGCCTGATACTTAAAACTTTATTGTTATTGAATGCTTTGTAATCACGACCAGACACGGAGACAGAGGTGAAAGAGAAAGGAAAAGAAAAGGTGGGGAGGGGGGGGGGGGGGGTCCACAAAATAAACAATAATGAACAAGAGTCTGCTTCTAGACCTGCAGAAAGAGAAAGAATAGAAAAAAATAAGGGACACACAACAATACAACAGGAGCAAGCTATCACTGTGTCAGCCTGATGAGGAAATATAAAAACTGTTTAACTGAACAATCGCACGATAATAAATCACAGTGCATTAAGTGTCCACCACAGCCTTAAGACATGTGTTGAACGTGCCCAAGTCCATACTTTTGAGAGCACCATGTGAGCACCTGTGTGTGTAGACGTGCTTGTTTATGTAAGGTTTCTCTATAGGAGCGTCCAACAGAGAGTGTGAGGGACCACAGATCTGCCCCCTAAAGATGCGTAGGAGACGAAGGGAGCTCCAAGTCTCAGAGATACAGGAGCTGCCCCAAAGCGCAGGGACCCCAGGGAGACTGTGACCAGAAAAGCCCCTACCCCCCTCGAGAGGCAAAGAGGATTGCCCCAGGGGTCACAACCAGCAGCCGGCAGAGTACTGGGGGATATCAGTGGCAAGCCCACAGGCCCGCCTGCAGCCTCCCACCCCCAAGCCGGCCGAGCCTGGAATCCAGAGACCCGGGACCCAGGGACGACCAGCCCCGCTGGAGACCCAACAGAGCCCAGGGACCCAGATCCCACCAGGCAGCCACCGGGATTAATCAGGCAGACGCTAAAAATCTTAAACTCCCTGACCCGGGAGCCGCAAACACTCAGGCAGACCAAGGCACCACACTCCACACCACATGTGACAGGGGGAGGGGAGAAAAAGATGTATAGCATCAAAAGAAGTCCCAGGAGAACGGAGGAGTCAAAGGTCCCACCTGACATATACAGTCATACACAAACACAGTCACACACTCCCTCCCTCATGCTCACACATACACATACAACCTAAGACAAAAATGCACGCCAGACACCCACTCATGCTCCCCATACACACCCTATTCACTCTGGTCCCGGTACTGCTGCACAAAGGGTACAACACATACTGGTTCCAAGAGTTCGACCCTTTCTGCTGGGGTGCTGATGAGCAAGCTCCCCCACCCAACGCTGAGCACAGCAACCCACCACCCAGTAGTCCACCCCCCGAGGCAACCAAAGCACCTCCAGAGGGGGGCAACGGCCCCCCCAGTCCCAGGCACCCCCCCAGTGAACCCACCCCAGGGAACTTCCGGATACTCCAAACTCAGACCCTCCACCCCCCCACCCACATCATCCCGCAGGACAACATCAACGGTCCCCCACCCTCGCTATGTGATGGAACCGATGAAAGGAGCCCAGAGAGATTGATCTGAAGTGGAAGCAGAGGCTATCTCAAGTGTAATATGATCTACCAAAAGATTTCTCTCCTCCTTGAACCGTCACCTTATCGTGGTGGAGGAGTTTGAGTGCCCTAATGATCCTAGGAGCTATGTTGTCTGGGGCACTTAGTGCCCCTGGTAGGGTCTCCCATGACAAATTGGTCTTAGGTGAAGGGTGAGACAAAGAACGGTTCAAAGGATCTTTCATGGCGGTTAAAACGAAGAGTCGGAGTACCCGGCCCGGAGGGTTACCGGGGTCCCACCCTGGAGCCAGGCCTGGGGTTGGGGCCCGTGAGCGAGCGCCTGGTGGCCGGGCTTTCGCCCATGGGGCCCGGCCGGGCCCAGCCCGAACCGGATACATGGGCTCGTCCAACTGTGGACCCACCACCCGCAGCAGGAACATGAAGGGTCCGGTGCAATGCGAATCGGGTGGCAGACCAAGGCGGGAGCCTTGGCGGTCCAATCCCCGGACATGAAAACTAGTTTTTGGGACATGGAACGTCACCTCGCTGTCGGGGAAGGAGCAGGAGCTTGTGGCAGAGGTTGAGCGGTACCGGCTAGATATAGTCGGACTCACCTCGACACATTGCATTGGCTCTGGAACCCGAGACCTGGAGAGGGGTTGGACACTCTACTTTGCTGGAGTTGCTCCGGGTGAGAGGCGGAGGGCTGGGGTTGGCTTTTTGTTAGCCCCGAGACTCTCTGTCTGTGTGTTGGGGTTTACCCCGGGGGACAAGAGGGTAGCTTCCTTGCGCCTTCGGGTTGGGGAACGGGTCCTGACTGTTGTTTGTGCTTATGGGCCAAATATCAGTTCAGAGTACCCACCCTTTTTGGAGTCCCTGGGACGAGTGCTAGATAGTGCTCCATCAGGGGACTCCATTGTCCTGCTGGGGGACTTCAATGCTCACGTGGGCAATGACAGCTTGACCTGGAGGGGTGTGATTGGGAGGAACGGCCCACCTAATCTGAACTCGAGCGGTGTTTTGTTATTGGACTTCTGTGCAAGCCGCAGTTTGGCCATAACGAACACCATGTTCGAACATAAGGATGCCCACCGGTACACTTGGTACCAGGGCAGCCTAGGTCACAGGTCGATGATAGATTTTGTAGTCGTATCATCTGACCTGCGGCCGTATGTTTTGGACACCCGAGTGAAGAGAGGGGCGGAGCTGTCAACTGATCACCACCTGGTGGTGAGTTGGATCAGATGGCAAGGGAAGATGCCGCGTAGACCTGGCAGACCCAAACGCATAGTGAGGGTCTGCTGGGAACGCCTGGCAGAAGAACCTGTCAAGACGGTCTTCAACTCCCACCTCCGGCAGAGCTTTGACCACGTCCCGAGAGCAGTGGGGGACATTGAGTCCGAGTGGGCCTTGTTCCACTCTGCGATTGTCGAGGCGGCTGTTGCTAGCTGTGGTCGTAAGGTGGCCGGTGCCAGTCGTGGTGGCAACCCCCGTACCCGCTGGTGGACACCAGAGGTTCGGGGAGCCGTCAGGCTGAAGAAGGAGGCCTACAGGGCGTGGCTGGTCAGTGGGTCTCCGGAGGCAGCAGACAGGTACCGGATAGCCAAGCGGGGTGCAGCAGTGGCAGTTGCCGAGGCAAAATCTCGGGCGTGGGAGGAGTTTGGTGAGGCCATCGAGAAAGACTATCGATCGGCTCCAAAGAGGTTCTGGCAAACTGTCCGGCGCCTCAGGAGAGGAAGGCAGCAACTCGCTCACACAGTTTACAGTGGGGATGGGGAGCTGCTGACGTCAACTGAGGCTATAGTCGGACGGTGGAAGGAATACTTTGAGGAGCTTCTCAATCCCACCAATGCGCATTCCGAGGAGGAACCAGAGCTGGGAGGCCTGGGGATGGACTGTCCGATCTCGGGGGCAGAAGTTGCTGAGGTAGTCAAACAACTACACAGCGGCGGAGCCCCGGGGGCGGATGAGGTTCATCCTGGGTATCTCAAGGCTATGGATGTTGTAGGGCTGTCATGGTTGACACGTCTCTACAACATTGCGTGGTCATCGGGGGCAGTTCCTAGGGAGTGGCAGACCGGGGTGGTGGTCCCCATCTTTAAGAAGGGTGACCTGAGGGTGTGTTCCAACTATAGGGGGATCACACTCCTCAGCCTCCCTGGAAAGGTCTACGCCAAGGTACTGGAGAGGAGGGTCAGATCGATAGTTGAATCTCTGATAGAGGAGGAGCAATGTGGTTTTCGTCCTGGCCGTGGAACTGTGGACCAGCTCTATACCCTTGCAAGGGTGATGGAGGGGGCATGGGAGTTTGCCCAACCAATCCACATGTGCTTTGTGGATTTGGAGAAGGCTTATGACCGTGTCCCCAGGGGCACCCTGTGGGGGACGCTCCAGGAGTATGGGGTGGGTGGCTTTCTGTTAAGGGCCATTCAGTCCCTTTACCAGAGGAGCGTGAGTTTGGTCCGCATAGCCGGTAGTAAGTCGGACCTGTTCCCAGTGAGGGTTGGACTCCGCCAGGGCTGCCCTTTGTCACCGGTTCTGTTCATCACTTTTATGGACAGAATTTCTAGACGCAGCCGTGGTGTAGAGTGTGTCGAGTTTGGTGGCAGGAGAATCTCGTCTCTGCTTTTTGCGGATGATGTGGTCCTCCTAGCTTCATCCAGCTCTGACCTTCAGCTCTTGCTGGGTAGGTTCGCGGCCGAATGTGAAGCGGCTGGGATGAGGATCAGCACCTCCAAATCTGAGACCATGGTTCTCGACCGGAAAAGGGTGGCTTGCCACCTCCGGGTCGGGGGAGAGGTCCTACCTCAAGTGGAGGAGTTTAAGTATCTCGGGGTCTTGTTCACGAGTGAGGGTAGGAGGGCTCGGGAGATCGACAGGCGGATTGGTTCGGCGTCTGCAGTGATGCGGACGCTGAGCCGATCTGTCGTGGGGAAGAGGGAGCTGAGCCAGAAAGCCAGGCTCTCGATTTACCGGTCGATCTACGTCCCAATCCTCACCTATGGTCATGAGCTTTGGGTAATGACCGAAAGAACGAGATCGCGGATACAAGCGGCTGAAATGAGTTTCCTCCGTAGGGTGGCCGGGCTCAGCCTTAGAGATAGGGTGAGGAGCTCGGACATTCGGGAGGGACTCGGAGTAGAACCGCTGCTCCTCAGGATCGAAAGGAGCCAGTTGAGGTGGTTTGGGCATCTGGTCAGGATTCCTCCTGGACGCCTCCCCGGGGAGGTGTTTCG